AGCATAGAGGTCTCTGAATATGAAGAGGGCCAGATTGGAAGGCGAGCCTAGGAAGTTACATGCCTCTCCTACCATATTCTCTTGGTAAAGCGTGAGGAAACAGTATCTCTTGCTAGAAAACGTGGCAGTTCCACTGTAAAGAGGGAGGTGTGATTCATCTAGCACCAGTATTTTAACAATCACAACTGTGCTGATATATTTCCTAGCTTAAAAGTGCATTCACATCTTATTCTCATGTAATTATCCCAAGGATCCTAAGAGATAGTATATAATTTTCTCCATTTTTACAGTTGAGGAACCTCATGTTCTAAAAATTCAGTGACTTACTAACCTAAATAGATGTAGGATGTCAGAGCTAGGATTTCAAGTCAGACACTGTCAACCAAAAAATCATAAAGAATAAGACATGCACACATGTCTCCATTTTCCAAAGAGTAGGTTCTGAATTCTAAAGCCTAGTTATGGGGCGCCTGGGTGGCTCAGTTGGTTAAGCATCTGCCTCCGGCTCAGGTTTGTGATCCCAGGGTCCTAGGATCAAGCCCCACATCAGGCTCCCTGCTCAGTGGGGAGCCTGCTTCTCCCCCTCCCTCTGCCTGCTGCTCTGCCTGCTTGTGTGCGCTTTCTGTCAAATAAATAAATAAAATCTTTAAAAAAAATAAAGCCTATTTATAAAACAGGTAAATAAGTAATGCTGAATCACCTAAGTTATAACCTCATGACTTATTAGTCATTTTTCAATTTACAATGTAATGGTGTAAAGTGGCGTGGTAACTAATTTTATTCTTAAAATTTTATATACCCTATGTCTATAGGAACATATTTGAAATACAAGCAACTTTTTTCTTTTATTTTAAATTACAGCTTTGCTGTAGAGTAAGTATAAAGGGGAAAAGAAAAAAAACAACTGCCTGATAGTCCAGATGTCAGAATTCAAAAATAAATTTATCAAACTTTTTTCTAAAATACTTCTCATGTGTTTCTCCCTCAAAATTGAGAAGCCAGTTCATAATCAACTGCAATCTCACTTGAATTTCCTCCTCTGTAGCTGCAAATCTCATTTTAAAGCAAAGCTAACAAAAATGGCTTGGAGCTGCAATTGAGAAGCAGATCAACCATAGCAAAAAATGAAGTCGGACCTTCAACCACTGCAGGCTCTTGCTCCACTAAATTAATGCAATCCTCTCTTATCTTCTATTACAGAAGGAACATTAGAAAAATGTGCCTATATAAAAATTATGTCTATATTTACACCAACATGAATATATACATGCACACATACACTAAAATGCACGGTCTTTTTTTTTTGTTTTTTTTGGTCTTTTAAATATAGAAAGTATAAGAATAGTTTGTTTTATCACTCACCTAATCATGTGAAATCACTGTTAGGGTATACCCCACGGTAATTTTTTTTTTCATTTTCTTCATAGGCATTTGTCACAAAATGATAATAACATTTTGCTTATCTAGCTTAACAGGTTGCATTATTTTTGTCATTTTAAAAAATGATTAGTCATAATTATTGGTGCTCCTACACCAAAAAACAAAATCCTACAAGTTGATTTTGGAAAATATGGAAACTATAGAAAATTAGAAAAAGTAAGATTACCTATGGTCTTCTCACTAAATATATATGGGTTCTGTTTGTTGGTTTATTAATTTCCTGGGGTTTTTTCCTATGCATTTTAGTAACTTAATTTTTTGCACAATTGTGATCACATTTATGAAAATTTGTCCAGTGTATACTTTGTGAAATTTTTCCTCTGTTGTAATGGACTCTTTAAAAACATTATCTTAAATACAAAATACAGTCATCTGGTTGTACCAGATTCTACTTCTCCATTCTCGTTTACTGAGGCAGTAATGACTTTTTATTTATTGCTACTATAAATAATACTCTAGTGAACATATTTTTCCATAATACCATTATATAACTCAAACAATCTCTTTAGGGCTGGTTTCTAGAAGTGTATCACAGATTATGACTCTTTTTAAGGCTCTTGATAAGTATTGCTAAATTATTTTCTAGGAAGTTTGAATCTATTTATACTCTCAAATATAACTTATGAAAATGGCGTATTTTACAAAACACTCACTTGCACTATTACAATGATTTTAATATGGATATAATGGACATTTAATAAATAAGCCACTATTCAGATAACTGCTTACTAAATAGAATTTAATAAATATATGCTATTATTTTTAATTAAAAGGCTAAGTTATAAGAAGATTATTTAATTGTGGGTTTTTAAAAACTAGTGAGACTGCACATTCTTCTATATGGATGAAGACTATTCTAACTTTAATTTTTGCAAAGCCTGAATTTATTCAAGTATGGGACATGTGACACACAGGGTGGTCTATTTGGTTTTATCCTAAGTTGAGTGGTGTCTGCAAGGACATGGGTAGACTGGGCGATTTCATTCCAAGGACTCATTATCTTGTCATATTTATTGTTAATTATCACATTTAGATGGGTACTTATCTACTAAAATAGAAACTATATGGGAAAGTGAGACAAAAAGTAAACAAAGGAAAAGATCTGGTTTTCCAGAGTTGAGAAGTCATTTCAGAAAGACATCATGGTATATAACAGTGCAAGTTTTCATAAATTAATTAATTTCATGACCTACCTATCAGGCTGAGTGTATTGGAGCTGAACTATCAGCTTGTTAAATTAAATCTAAATTCAAATAAATGATCATTACAGTAGGTATAATGAATAGGGAGCAACAAAGATTTTGAATACAGCACCATTAGTGAGTTTGCTGAATGAAACTAACTGTGATATTTCTCTGGGTAAGCAAGGAGAGAATGTATAGATAAATTTTATCTATAACATTTAACTTCTCATCCTTGTACCCTCAGAATTCTGAGAATTCAAACTCGAGTAATACACCTGGCTTCTGCTCTAGTGTTTTTCTTTGTATCAGAAACACCTCCCAGGCACAAGCAACTGTTAAGCCCAAATGGGAGACTGAAAAAAAAGAAATATTTTTCGAAACTCACAGATATAAAGGTCCTAAAGGCAAAGTCATTTTAAAACCTCAACAACCAAAATGTTTCCCACTTGTTTTCGCAGTCCATTTACTCTTTCTATCATACATCCCATTTTCCTGTTTTCTGATGACGTTTGCTCCTGTGACAGGAGGGAAGGAGAAGGTGAATGCACATGTCTTCACAATGGGTTATAATAGTCCCATCTTACAAATTATTGCTTTTTGTTTAGTCTATGCGCATTACTTGGCATATTGATTTTCACTTCTTATTTCTTATTACTTTACAGGCTCCTTTCCACCCATAATGGGAGAGAATATAGAGTTAACAATCTGTTTTCTAGTTTAATCATTATTCTGAGGCTAGACTTTGAGTGTTCATCTTATCATTTCTTTAAGCCTTGTGGCTTGTGAATGTAAACTTATCAAATGTATTTTATTCTCACAACACTTGAGCATACTATGAAAAAATAATCAGCACATGAATCTTCTTCTTCCCCACCTCCATCCAGCCTTAGTGAGCCTTAGGGCTCTCTAGGCATTGGAGCAACTACTCATTTTGCCAGAGATTCAGGATTACGTACCAATTATCTCCTTTTTTGAAGCAAACTTATTTCCAGGCAGTATGATGATTGTGTATTTGTCTCCAGGTGTGGCTATCAGAATGTCAGGTTGCCTTTGGTCATTGGTTTGTGTGAGGTGAAAGCATGCTCTTTATTTAAAAATAATGTATGACTCTTCGCAGTTTTGACTTTGGAAGTCATATCTCAGTATGTTATGAGAGAATCAAAGTTTATGCAAAGTTTTTGTAGGAACCCAACAGGTAATGATACTTCATCTGATGACTAGACATCTTTAAAAAGCAGCACATATCACAAATTGTTATAACTGTGCCATTTTTTAGTTTTGATACAAGTGGAATGCAAAATATCAAACTATTATAACGATTATTGTAAAACCTTGGAAACTTTCTGAGCAACTTATTCATTTCTGTGTATTTATTCATTCCCAGTAGTTAGCTTTTGATTTTCTTTAACCTCAACAATTGGGACATTAGGTCCATTTAGTTAGCCAAGGTGGAGAGTAAAACTTGGGCTGCATATCCAGTGCTGAACTAAAACCTCTCCTTCTAGGAAATGTAGTAGCAAGAAGAGTTTGTGTGTTTGGGAATGGATGGGAAGTGGGTCTGAAGAACGGTTATTAGTGATACTTCTGCTGCTAACCAGCTATGTGCCTCTATACAAATTAACTTTCGGGGGTCTCTCCACAAGAGAAGAACTGAAAAAAAGGTACTGAATTTCTTATTTTCAAAATTTCACATCACTTTAACATTTTAATATTCTACAATCTGAATCTTACTACAGTATCCCATGCACAATTTCCCATAATCCTCTACTTTTGTGTCGTCCCTTTAGGGAACAATACAGTGACAAGCATTCAAAAACTTTACCACCTTACTGATGCTGTATCTAAGATTTTAATGTAATTATTCTGGAAAAGTCCTAAATAAAAAGCTCCAGTTTTAGCTCCTTTGGGAGAATTTGTCCCAAAGGTATCATAGGTTAATCTCCAGTTACCTGAATCCATTCCTAAAATCCTAAAAAGCCCTTCCTTAAAAAAAAAAAAAAAAAAAATTGAAACTACAGATCCCATGAGTCCAAAGAAGGGAACAGATATTTCCCCTCCAGCCCCTCCCTGCCCCTTGAATGTAGTTCGCTAAAACTCAGGTTGAGGCATCCTGAAATATGCCTGAAAGAAAAGCCGGCTGTTTCGTCCCGGTTTTCAGCTGCGCTCTCCCCAGGCTCCTTTAAATCGGTGCGAGAGTGAGGAAGGATACAGAGAGACGCCGCGCGGGATAGGCGCGGGCGCGGCCTAGGCGCGGGCGCGGCCATCACCTGTTCCGAGACGGGCATGCGCACTGCGAGGGCGCGGGCCAGGAGGCGGGGCGCGGTGGGAGGGGCGGACGGCGCCCGGCTGGCACAGCTCAGACGTGTTTCTCCCCGGCTCGGGGCGCTGAGGCGGCTTCGGGGAGTTGTCCAACATGGAGGAGGCACCGGCTGCGGGCGTCACCTGTGAGCGGGACTAACACCCGCCTGGCGTTCCGGGCAGCGGTGCCGGGTCCCGAGCCCTGGGACTCCGCCGCCTGCACGCCCCACGGCGGACCCCGGCTCCGGTTGCTCCTCGGGCCGCGGGGTTCCCGACGGGGACGCAGCGCAAGGAGGGAGCGCGGCGGCCCCGAGTCCCCCTGAGCCATGGGCAACGAGGCGAGCTTGGAAGGGGAAGGGCTCCCGGAAGGGCTGGCGGCGGCGGCGGCGGCGGCAGCAGCCGGAGGAGGGGCTGGCGGGGCGGGGAGCTCCTTGCACACCGTGATCCCGGCCGGCATGGAGGCGGATCTGAGCCAGCTGAGCGAAGAGGAGAGGAGACAGATCGCCGCTGTCATGTCAAGGGCGCAGGGGCTGCCCAAGGGAAGCGTCCCCCCGGCCGCTGCGGAGCCGCCTTCCATGCACAGGCACGCACAGCATGATGTATATGTCCGGGCATATATGTACAGCTTCCCGTGCACATATGTGTCAGCCCGTATGTGCCAGCACGGCAGTACATATATGTCGCTTCTGTTCATTTTATTCTCCCTAATGGGGTGACGATAAGGAGATCATAAGCCTTTTGATGGGCAGAATAAAAATGATGCATTGTAGAGTTTCTGGTGGGATAGTCAAGGGTTGCATTCGTGGAACTGTGATTTTAGGTTGTGATTTTTGGCCTTTTGGAACCTTTTCCAAGGCGTGGAGAGACGCCCTCCAGTGTTTTACTAATCTGGAAGTCTTCCATTAATAGAAAACGGACGTGTTGGGGAATGGATAGAACTGGGTGTTCACCTGTCTCTGTTTAAACCTCCTCAGTCATTTAGGCATCTTTTTCTCTGTGAATGATGTCTGAAATATTTCTGTAATAATACCTTTAATTCCCCCGGAGGTGATTTGTCCTTCCTTCCCACCCCACCCCCAGAGGAGAACAGGAGCTGATTAGGTAGAAGGTATAGAATGAATACACCTTTTATAGTCAATGAAGGACCCTAAAATATGTTGTGGCATTAAACAGATGGTTTGGTCGCAGCAGACCAGGTGCTGTACATGTATTTCTGAATCAGTATATGCTATTTTTTAAACTATTGTTCTTTTATATGCAAAAGTATCTTAGTTGGTGGAAAAACATGTGAATTTGTGTTACCTTAAGATTAGTTTCCAATACATTTTAAGACAAAGCAAATAAGTGACAACTTGCGCAGGCAATTAAGAGCTATTCTGTAATATTAACGTATTAATTTCCCTCTCTAGCTCTCCATTTTCCTTCATCTAATAAATTAGTTGTTTTCTAATTAGAGTAGTAAGAGGGTATAATCACTGTGCCTGCCTTGCCTTTATTATTGTAAACAAACCCTTTAACTTTACACCCTCCCTTAGAGTACAGTTCTCTGTCCGTTGTCCTGAAACCATTCCTGCTTTATGATAATTGAAGAGAGACCTACAATTTTCATTAGAGATATTGGAAATATGAAAGATCTGCATATCGTAGGTGTAGATTCTTAACCCCTACTTCATAGAAGTATTTTAACTTGGGAACTATCATATAAGTATATGCGTATAATTTTGTCAAATATTTTAATTTAACATAGGAGAAGTGTAACGGATAGTTGCAATATTTTTAACATAAAATCTTAAGTGCTTAGAATATATTAGCTAAAAACCCTATGTTCTTGAAACAAAGCCACTACTGCTGGTAAAAACTTGCTCCTTTATGTTAAATGTGTTTTTCAACTTGTAATATATGGGGCTATTTCTTTGGTATAAAGTCTTTTTTATCCATTACCTTAAGTATTAAAGCTTATGATATGCACCATTTTTCTCTACTGGTGAAAACCTGACTTGGAAAAAATGTTGAACGTTCATATATTAGATTTTCATAGGGATATAATGAGGTACAATACTTTTATTAGCCTTTTAGAAATGTATTCCAGCTCTTTCACAGTTTTTCCTAAGAGGTACATGCAACAGGTTTAGCATGCTGGTTACACAGACCAGGAAAAAGTGTGAGCTTTTATTTCTGCATTCTTAACTTTTCTTCTATTCAGGGGTGGCTGAAAAATAACAATTTCACCGTATTAAACTGGTTTTATGCTGTGCTTATGTCAGATTCTGCATTGATAATTTTGTTATAGTAGAATTTTTATTAACAGATAATCTGTGGCCTCAGCAGTTATTGGTGAAAGCTTCATCTACCTGTATAAACAATATATTTCTGATTTTTGAGACCTTCTTATATTTTAGTGAAAGATTTTTATAGAATGTACATAATTTTTAGAACATTATTATCCTTGGATGTGATAACCAAAGAAACACTTGGTTTATCATTTAGGTTTTTAGAAGCACACCAACTTAAGTATGTATAAGAAAGTATATCCAAATTATTTAAAGTCTGAAGAGGTTAAGTGTGTCAATTAGAGATGGTGGTTTTGTTTTGTTTGTTTTTGAATAAGGGTTGAGAGCCCAGAGACCTAGGTTCTTGTCCTATTAATTTTAACAGACTCATGACAAATTATGTATGCTTCTCAGCCTAGCTGCCTCAGTTTCCTTGCCCCCAAATAAGGCATATGACACTTGTCTTACCTATCTTGTAGAGTCATTGTGAGGATCAGTTACAAATTGACAGGGATGTTTTTGTTTGAATTTAAGGGAATCTATAAGTATCAGAAGTAGTGATCTCAATATCAGCAGTGGATGGCATTGGCAATGGTGGCTCCAGACAAATTGTATGTTGAGTTCTTCTCTTGTAAGTTATTTTGATGTATCTATATATGTATTTTTTATGTATATGGAAAAGTCAGTGCCATGTAGTGGAACTTCCACTCCCCTCCCTACTCCCACCAGAAGTCTCGATACCAGATATCGGTGACTAACTAGTTTTATAACCTTGGAGTAATCACTTAGCCTCTTTAAGCCCTAGTATCCTCTACAGTATAAAAATGAATAGCTATCCCCAAAGTTGCTTATATTTCTAATATCAAAAAATTTTATGTGACTCAGCACTATCAAGTGTCATTGTGCTCCATTAAAAAAAATTTTTTTAGCATTCCAACTGCTTTTACATTTGTATCCGTGAATGTATGTTTAGTTCATTTGTAGCTGAAATATTTTTTCTGCTAATCTATGAAAGAAAAATTCTATTCTGGGGATGACAGTAGTAATGAAAAAGGAGGTTGTACAAAACATGGGTCGTTACAAGCTAGAAGTTACAGGTTACAAACAAAATGCTTCTGGATTTTTGGTTAATTGAAGACACAGAAAAAGGCAGTTTTATCATTTGGTCTGCTCTTTCTGTGTGCAGCTACAGATATGAGAAGGGCTTTACTGAAAAACGCTTCTGATTGGTAGAATATTCTACAGGAATTCTGACTGAATCCATTATTTTCTTTAGTATTCCTTTGGGCCTATCCTACTGGTAGACAATTCCACAACCGTTTTTCTCCCTAGAGTAGCAGGCCAAGTCCAGGTTCTAAATGCATGTAGAATTTTTCCATTTATATCTCAGAACAACCATGAAGAATTTGAAAAGAATTCAAGAAACATTGTCTAGCATAAAACAAAAACCTGATTCATTCATTGATTCATTTGTTGTCATCCACCTATTCATTCGTTCATTCATTCATTCATTCATTCACGAGACACTAACACTCTAGTTAACAGGTTTGGTTCTAGTGACGCAAAGATGAGTGAAACACTTTCCCTAGGAGGTCACAGCGTAGGATACAAGACACAGATTGCATTTTAGTTGTTTTTCTTTTTGACAGAGCACCTGTTACACCAAACGAAAATTTACCAGAAGACCACAGTTACCTGAGACATCTTTCTATTTTTGTTCAGTATTAAGTCTGTATATTCTTTTAGCGATTCTCTATTTCTCACATCCATGTTTGATGTTTACTTATATAATTCTAGTAGCTGAAGTTAGTTTAAATTGTGGGGCAGTCTTTATAGCTGTATCAGTTTTCTCATGGGGATTTTATTATACAACTTATATTTTAGGAGGTACATGCAATGATAATTTCTGCTGTAAGCAGCTTGCTTTAAATTTTAGTGTTGATATCACAAATATCTGGTATTCCCAAAGTTTATTTTTTGTTTTGTACATATGTTGGATGACGTGCAACAACACAGAACAATGATTAAGTTTAATAGTATTTTCAAGAGAGGACAATTTAGTAAATTAAGAATAGATTTCTCTTTTTGTACTCTTTAAATATAGGTCTCTAGGACTCTGCTAGGGAGCCAATTAAATAATATACCTAAATAATTACTTATGAGATAGGAACTTCTGTAATGAAGTTCCTAAGCATATGCCCTTCACGAGAGTGGTAGATTTTATTAATTGAACGTGGAACATTTCTAGAATAATGTGAAGGTCTAAACAGTGAAATTTTTGAAAATAATCTATCTTAGGTTGTTTACTATAGCTCTTCTATCTTCTGTGTAAGGGAACACAGAGTGGCCCGTAAAGAAACATTCAAAATTATTTTCTCCAAATGGAAATACATAGTATTTTAAAAGATACCTTAGAACCATTGGAATTAATTAGGGTAACAATTTTAGTTCCTTGTTTAAGTTATCTAAAGTTTTTGTAACTTTTTTTCCTGGAGGAAATTGCCAAAACTAAGAATTCTATTTATTCAACTTTTATTAGAAAATCACTTTTTGCATATGGTGGCTTTTATAGATTATTTCCTTCTTATTTTTTGCTCTTTAGAAGTAATACTTCTGTATTTCTTTCTACAGTACCTTATAACTTGATCTGTCTCAAGTTTCTGTGCCATTTGGGGAATTTCAAAAACTTAATTCATATTAAGTACTAAATAATTTGAAATTAAAAGTTTATAATCTGGCCCATTAGCAGGTAAATTTTCACAAAACAAATTAAAACTTGTAGAACTTTATTGTGATCATCTCATATTTTAAGTGCTACTGAATAACTGTTTCTTTTTTCTTTTAATGAAAAAGAAATAAATCTTTTTCCGAAGTTAAAAAGCTTCATGTATCAAATGAAATACTCGTAATTTTATTTTTATGTAATCCTAATAGAGCCTATTCTTATTAGTTACCACTTTATCAGTAAAGAATGGCTTATTTAAAAAAAAGTAATGTATTTGATTTTTGGTTAAAAGTATAAAAAATCAACTATTTTAATTATTTAACCATAGTTATTTCAAAGTGATCATGTTTCCAAAACTATTTAAAAAAATTCATCGTGTATGTTTGTCTATGAATTAAAAGAAAATTTGTAAGTTAGTTATGTCCTTAAATCTTTGTCAATAATAAATAGTATTACTAATAATCTAACAGAGGCAATAGTAAATGTTATAGAAAACATTAAGAGATTATTATGTATCTTCTTCTGAGAAAAGTAACAGTACTTTCGAAAGTAGGTTCATAACCAGCTTGTTGCTAACTGTATGCCCGCTGTATCTCAAGCTTCTTTAAGCATCTATCATTATTTTGCATAGAGATCTCAGGTTAATAATTAGCTATTGGAAAAAGAATTAAATGACATAACATTTTTCTTCTACAAGAAATACGGAATTGTTTCTCAAAAATTTCTAATTGAAGTAGGACTTCTCGTTTTACAAAGTTTAATAAGGATAATATTTGAGGGATAATATCTTTTCCAACAGAATAAAGTTGAATAGATTATCAACTTTCTCAGTGTTCCTGGAAATGCATCACGTAACCTCTTTTACTAAAAAGTTCCCCGATGTCGTGTGCCATATGTTACTAATGTAACTTCTTGTTATCAAGTAAAAGAAAAAACAGTTGCAACAAGCTCCCACATTTTAAAATGAATATTCTTAATTCTTGGTGCTGCTAGCATTTGGAAGAATAACATTCTTCAAACATGAACATACTAGAACATGGCCCTGCATTGGTTTATTGAGTTGATATATTTAATAAGGTTTTAAGGATGGCCAGATTCTATTAAGTGTAAATGTAAACTATTATAAGTGATGTCTAACTAGATATCTTAGAGTAGCAAGTATTGGTTTTTCCCCCTCTTGTTTACCTTGTTGAAAATCTCTATCCACATAAAGAAAGTAACAAAGACTTGAAGGATTTTATGATCATTTACAGGATGCTGCAAAAATGTGTTCTAGTTATATCTATACATGCGTAATTTTGAGGCTCTAAGAAAGTAATGGCTCGTTAATATTATTTTGAGTTGGGATACTTTCCATTATTTTTACTTCTTTTCATTTCATTCTTCTAGGAAGCAAGAGTTGGAGAGTAGTCATCCTCCAAAGCAACCCGGAAAACCGCCGGACCCTGGGCGTTCAGCTCAGCCTGGTCTCAGTAAAAGTAGAACTACAGACACTTTGAGGTCAGAGCAGAAGTCGCCTGGAAGGAGTCCTTCCACTATTAGCTTGAAAGAATCAAAGTCCAGAACTGATTTGAAGGAAGAGCACAAGTCTAGTATGATGCCTGGCTTCCTCTCAGAGGTTAACCCTTTAAGTGCTGTCTCCTCTGTTGTAAATAAATTCAATCCTTTTGATTTGATATCAGACTCTGATGCATCCCAGGAAGAAACTGCCAAGAAACAAAAAATAGCTCAGAAAGAACCAGGCAAACCTGAAGGAATCACAAAGGCTCCATCACAACAATCACCTAAGCCAGGTCCAAAGCAGCAGGGACCTGTGAGGGTCCCACCACAGCAGGATGGCTCTCCCAAATCAGGATCTTCTCAGCAACCGGAAAAGATGAAATCACAGCCCCCAGGGACAGGCAAGCCAGTTCAGGGGCTTACCCAGGCACCTCAGACAGACCAGGCACAGTTGCCACTTCAGAGAGATGCAGCCAGGCCTCAGACTAAACAGTCCGACGCTGTAAGGGGAGAATCAGTTAAACCCTCAGTGCAAAGCCCAACCAAACCATCTATTCAGCAAGCAAGTCCTGGAAAACCTCCAGCCCAGCAACCTGGACCTGAAAAAGTTGCCACACCACACCCTGGGCCTGCAAAGCCCTCAGCTCAGCAACCAGGGCCAACAAAGGCCTTAGCTCAACAGCCAGGGACAGCAAAGCCCCCAGTCCAGCCACCAGGGACAACAAAGCCTGCTGCTCAGCAGCCTGGGCCAAAGTCTTCAGCTCAGCCTCTTGGGCCTGCGAAGCCTCAAGCTCAACAGGCTGGGTCAGAGAAACTTCCATCTCAGCAGCCAGGGCCAGCAAAGCCCCCAACCCAGCAGCCAGGGCCAGCAAAATCCCAAGCTCACCAACCTGGGCCACAGTCCCCAGCTCAGCCACCTGGGCCTGCAAAAGCTCCTTCTCAGCAGGCTGGGCCAACAAAGTCTCCGGCTCAGCAGCCTGGGCCAGGAAAAACTCCACCTCAACCGCCTGGCCCAGCAAAACCCCCTCCTCAGCAGCCTGGCCCAGCAAAACCCCCTCCTCAGCAGCCTGGCCC